CTCTCTCTCTCTCTCTCTCTCTCCATCACTTCCTAATTTATCTCGTTAACCAGTACAAGCTTTTTATTTTGGATTATTGTAAGGCAACGAAAAGAACTTGTGTGCGATCAATAAAGAAATGAAATCTGACTGTATACATGTGTTCATCTCTTACAGAATGTGGGAATTGATAAGGGAGAAATACCAGACCTAGCCAAGGTAGGTAACGTAACTTGACACAACACAACGTAGCGTAATGTGACGTAATGTGATACGACACAAAACCAATGCCACGTAACGTGACGTTGTGTAGCGTGGCATGCCGCGGAATGGCGTGACGTGGCATTGCATGTTCTATCTATTTCTCTATCTCTGCAGGTGCCTAGCAGTCTGGTGGAAGCACTGGAACAACATCTCATAACATACAACATATAACATACAACATACAACATACAACATACAACATATAACATATAACATACAACATACAACATATAACACATAACATATAACATATAACATGTAACATACAACATATAACACATAACACATAACATACAACATATAACATACAACATACAACATACAACATATAACATATAACATACAACATACAACATATAACACACAACATATAACATATAACATGTAACATACAAGATATAACACATAACACATAACATACAACATACAACATATAACATATAACACATAACATATAACATATAACATACAACATATAACACATAACATATAACACATAACATACAACATATAACACATAACGTATAACATACAACATATAACACATAACGTACAACATATAACACACAACATATAATATATAACATATAACATATAACATATAACATACAACATATAACATATAACATAACATATAACATAACCTTGCTATAATGTAATGTTCTCTCTCTCCGCTCTCTATGTCACCAGGCACCTAGCAGTCTGGTGGAGGCGCTGGAACAACATCTCATAACATACAACATATAACATACAACATACAACATACAACATATAACATACAACATACAACATATAACATAACATATAACATATAACACATAACGTATAACATATAACGTATAACATACAACATATAACACATAACGTACAACATATAACACACAACATATAATATATAACATATAACGTATAACATATAACGTATAACATATAACATATAACACATAACGTATAACATACAACATATAACACATAACGTACAACATATAACACACAACATATAATATATAACATATAACGTATAACATATAACGTATAACATATAACATATAACACATAACGTATAACATATAACGTATAACATACAACATATAACATATAACATATAACATATAACATACAACATATAACATATAACATATAACATATAACATACAACATACAACATATAACACATAACACACAACATATAACATATAACATATAACATACAACATATAACATATAACATATAACATACAACATACAACATATAACATATAACATATAACATATAACATATAACATACAACATATAACATATAACATACAACATACAACATATAACACATAACACACAACATATAACATATAACATATAACATATAACATACAACATATAACATATAACATAACCTTGCTGTAATGTAATGTTCTCTCTCTCCGCTCTCTATGTCACCAGGCACCTAGCAGTCTGGTGGAGGCGCTGGAACAACATCTCATAACATACAACATATAACATATAACATACAACATATAACATACAACATACAACATATAACATACAACATATAACATAACCTTGCTGTAATGTAATGTTCTCTCTCTCTCCTCTCTCTGTGTCACCAGGCACCTAGCAGTCTGGTGGAGGCGCTGGAACAACATCTCATAACATACAACATATAACATATAACATATAACATACAACATACAACATATAACATACAACATATAACATACAACATATAACATATAACATATAACATACAACATACAACATATAACATACAACATATAACATATAACATATAACATATAACATATAACATATAACATAACCTTGCTGTAATGTAATGTTCTCTCTCTCCGCTCTCTATGTCACCAGGCACCTAGCAGTCTGGTGGAGGCGCTGGAACAACATCTCGGCGCTCCTGAAGGCAAGAAGGCAACGTCCGGCATCGCCTCACCTCCAAACAAGTGAGCAGTCAAACAAGAGAGCAGTCAAATGAGAGAGAGAGAGAACGGATACATAATGAACGTAGATGGAAGATGGACGCGAAAGAAATTCGCCTCTCGGACCGAAATTACAAATCCGGGTTGTCCCGATCGACGGGCAGCTCCAGCCAATCGGTGTCGAGATGGCGCATGCTAAAAACAATGCTTAGCGACAACGTACTCGCCCGCTCTAACACGATAATCTCCCTCGTGTCGATCGCTCGCCTTTAATCGCGCGCTGCTCGAACTCGCAAACTCGATCGCCTGATCGGCCAATCGTCGTTTCGTCGCTCGAACGCTCTCTTGTTTTCTCGCGCGCAGGCAGTCGGCGCAGATGACGTCCGTCATCAACACGATGAGCACGACGGGAAGCGCGTTCGGCGCCGCGTCACAAGGGGGCGCCGCCGAGCTGACGGAACTCGACACGAAGAAGATACTGGAGGAAGAGGAGAAACGCATGGAGGAGCTGAGGGTGAGAGAGGAGGAGGAGGAGGGAGGGAGGAGGGGAGGGGATGAGGAGGAGGAGGAGGGGAGGGGAAGGGAAGGGAACAGGAGAAACGCATGAAGGAGCTGAGGGTGAGAGAGGAGGAGGAGGAGGGAGGGAGGGAGGAGGGGAGGGGAGGGGAGGAGGAGAAACGCATGAAGGAGCTGAGGGTGAGACAGAGAGAGGAGGAGGGAGAGATGGATCACTGTGTCATCGTCAATGTGTCATCGTCAATGTGTCCTTGTCACGACGTCATTGTCACCGCGCTATCGTCACCGCGTCGTCATCCTTGCTTCAGAAGATGCATGAGGCACACCGACCTCACGGGTCCTCGTCCGTACCCGGGGCGATGGTGGCGCCACCTAGCAACCCGTTCGCCGTCGAGATGCCGCCTGGAGGAGCGAAGACCGCCGAATCGGACCTCTTCGCGCTCGGTGCTCCCTCTGGTGGGTAAAACAAGCGGTCATCGGCGCGTCACAACTTTAAGAACGCGATCGCGAAGATGAAATTGACATTTGATATATAATATCAATTATATCTGCTGTAAATAATGTTAAAATAAGTGTATAAGAGTTGTAAATAATTTTTAAATAAATAAAATGTAATAATTCGGAAATACGTCGATAACAATCAGTAATAAATAAGTAAATAATCCGCAATTAACGCATAATTTAAAATATAGTTTCCGGTTCCGAATCGTCCCCGCAGGTGGCAGCATGGGGCTGAACGGCAGGCCGAGCGATGACCTCATGGGAATTGCGCGCAATCCGTTCTCGGACACGATCTTGGCGGACGCCCACGCCCCGCCCGTCGCTGCCGTGCAGTCGATGCCTGCATTCCAGTCTAGTGGTGGTGGCGGCGGCGGTGGAGCGTGGGGGCAGCAGCAGCAGCAGCAGAACGGTGCGTACATGTGCTGTGTGTGTGTTGTCTCACTTTCTTTCTTTTTGTCTCTCTCTCTCATTCACTGGGTTTCTCTCTCTCTCTCTGGTTCTCTTTATCTCTCTCTTGATCTCTGTCTCGCTCTCTCTATCTCTGTCTCTCTCTTTTCTCTCTCTCTCTCTCTCTATCTCTGTCTCTCTCTCTCTCTCTCTCTCTGTCTCTCTCTCTCTCTATCTCTGTCTCTCTCTCTCTCTCTCT